TCAAAATTCACCCCTGAAAAGTCAGCACTGGGACTCTTCAAATTTCTTTCCTTTTCTGTCAACCAATAGGAGTTGCTGGAAGTAAGTGCTAGAAGGTAGCAAAGTTGCAAAGACACTTATTCTCCCTTTACTTGCTCTTTTGGTGAGTGTCATTTAAGTAACAGTTTATCATCCTGGTAGTTGTTGGCTCCAGCATCTTTCTGTATGTCTTGAAGTAGCCTCATTGGACCCTGACACATGTGCCACCTTTAATGGCTGATCCTTTTCCTCAGGCATCTGAGTCCCAGCCCTGCAAGGCTTCTTTGAGCTTCTCAATTCAGGTAACATCAGCCTTTTCCCTTTGTCCTTCCAGCCTTAGGTGGTGGTTTCTTCTTCATTTATCCATTTATCATCTCTGTTAAACCTGTTCTTTATATTAAATTCTCTCTGTGGAAATACATGGTGTGGTTCTGGTTTTCTCTTTAGACATTGACGTAAGTGCTTGATGATGTCAGCCATTAGTATTATTCAATAAATTCCTTGTCTCAAAGACACAAGCACACAATATTTTCCTTATCACATACTTTTTTATTAGAATTTGGCTTCTTATGTAGATATGCCTGTAGAATTTATTGTTAGCAAACATGTATAATATATGTAATTAACTTGAGAGCAATATACTTTTCATTATACATGAATATATTTTGAATACTTTTTAGGCATCAGCCTCTAAGCACCTTATTTTGGCAATGGAAACAGATCCCTTCCTAGAACACTGACCGGGAGTTTCTTGCAGGGTGATGATGCTCCTGTTTCTCCCCTGACTTGGCACAATTTTGGTGGTAAGCACAGACCGCTTTTGCTTCAAATAGCAATACTGAGTCTTAAATCTAGAGGCAAAGTCCACTTTGCAAGCACAATGTTTCTTTCTTTTACTTATTTTCCAAATCAAACTTCTTTTCAACATTTAGATATAAATGACCAATATAGCTAAACTACCTCCTCTTGGCAAGGGCTCTTTTAATATTATTTGTATTTTAATAAATCTCTACCTTTTTTAAATCAAAGGGATCAAGTCTTGATTTTAGAATTTCATAATTCACTGAGCTTAGTATAGGGAGGGTTTTTCAGATTGAAAAGGAAAGGGAGAGGAGAATCACTCCAACTGCTCCTGAAAATCAAGTGAACAGATGTCTATTTTAGCTACTCTTTAAGTTGGCGCTGATATAAAGAAACGTTCAACCAACACAGTTCTTGACTGTCCCTTACCAGACCATAACAGATCTCCTTTGGTCCTGGCCATGTGGGGAAGCCACAGGGCACCTACACATCTTATAATAACCTCCTTTGTAAAGCTAAACAAATATTTGTCTCTGGCTGGCAAAGCTGAAGTTTTTGCACACATTTATACGCATCTGTACTTCTGCTGCTTACAGTATTAGCTGTGGCAACATCCTGGCTGGACTGTTGGGAGAAAGTTAAGCAAGATACAGTGTAATTTAAAAGCATGGCATCCCTGGCATCCTCTATAATCTTTCATAGCCAGAGACAGCTGTGCAGAACTGAGATTCCATCTTCTCCAGCAAGTTCAAGAGTGAGGCGCCTTGAAGAAGGCAATTTCTTATCTCACAGTTTTAGAGATCAGAAGTCTGAGATCAAGTGTCAGTAGAATGGTTTCTTCTGAGGGCTGTGAGGGAATGGTCCCTTCTGTGACTCTTGGTGGTTTACTGGCAATCTTTGGTACTCCTTGGTTGTAAATACACAACTCTAATCCCTATCTTCATTTTCACATGGTGCTCAACCTGTGTACATGTCACTGTGTCCAGGTTTCCTCTTTTTATGAGAACACTGTCAGATTGGATTAAGGTCCAGCCTAATGACCTCTTCCTAACTTAATCATCTATGAAGGCTCTATTGCCACATAAGATTATGATCACAAGTATTAAGTCTTTTTAGAGAGACAAAATTCTATCCATAGCACTTTATTCCCACAGTTATTGTGGGCAGACTTGCTGGAAGCTATCTAACTGTCTCCCTTCTTTTTTAATTTTTTATTTTTTATTGGTACACGTTTGCAGTACATAATGACCATTCCTTGCGGGGAGTTGGTAAATGTACATGCCACGTCTTCCTTCTTTTTTCACCCCCTTCTTCTCCCCTCCCTCCTTCATCTCTTGGTTCCCTTCCCTTGTGTAAAAGATCTATCTCCCTTTTCCCTATTATCTATTTTTTATTTTGCTCTTTATTTATATTTTGGGATTCTCATATAAGAGAAGCCAAACAATACTTAAGTTTATGTGTTTGATGTATTTCACTTAACAATATGGTTTCAGGTTGTCTCCTTTTGTGCCTCCTCAGCCAATGGTTGGCCTCCTTCTGCTTTTCTGTACAAAGCCAGAGAGCACAGACTCAGACAACAGATGCAGCCCAATTGTGACAGCCTGTCTTAGTTACTTTTCTCATTGCGGAGACAAAATACCCGACATCCAAAGTTAAAGGAGGAAAGGTTATTTAGCTCGCAGTATGTAGAGGTTTCAGTCCATAATAGGCTGGCTTCAAGGCAGGGTGGCATGGCAAACAGGCATCGCAGAGGAGAAACCGTTTTTATGGTAAGCAGAAGCTAGCAAAGCCACAGAGGATGGCCACAGCTCTTTCTATCCCTTATATCTTATCCAGGCTACTTAGGGCAGGTAACACTCACACCATTAATCCTAGTGCCCTTGGGCCTAGCATTGCACCATGAATCAATTTCAGTGTTACACACTCTACATTGAGCCACCTTTAAGGAAGCCCCGCCTATGACCACATCAGCCTTTGGGAGGACATCTAGACACAAGCCATAACAAAGTTCTTTCCAAATTGTGACATCAGACTAGTCACATTACCTCTCTGTTTCTTCATCTGTTAGATGGGGGAAGACAGACTTGCTGAGAGGACAACGAGCTAAATCAAAGTATTCTGCTGGCATATAGTTAAATGTCAACAAATTACAATATTATCATTTATTATTTTTTGTTAGGAGAGGATGGGTTAGTGATACTCAACCCTGGGTGCAAGAGAATTGTCCGGGGGAACATCTTAAAAATTTCTGGTACTCTGGCACCATTAGAGATTCTATCTGAATTGGTCTAGAATGGGACGCAGGCACTGATATGTTTAGAAGCTCCTAATTTATTTTAATATGCAGAACCATGAGAATATATGACATGGTTGAAACTAATTAGAAATTCTCCATGAAGCTGGAAGTCAAAAGGGGAAGATTTGTAGTTATGTAGCCAGTTAGTCCATGTTGTGGCCAACGCTTGACCACGAAATTGAGAGGCAGCTCTTGGACAATATGTAAATTAGGTGACCTGGTTTTCAGAGCCAGTTTTTGCTTTGTGACATTTTTCCCCAGGCCATTTGAGGAGAGAGTATCCCATCGAAACACTGCCCTGGGCCCTCCTTCTGCCCTGCAGCAAAGCTCCAGCCACTTGCATGCTCCTTGGCTCCTGCTCTGGGTGTGTTTGCCTGTGAGGAATACTACAGAAGAGTTAGCCCTAAATAATAGCTTGATGTGCTGCCTGCCTTTGAGCAGCATGCATCACAAAACTCAAAGAGTTCCTGAGAGGGGAAATTTTAGACACTCCTCATGGACTCATGGAATGGGGCAGCTCTGCCCACTAGGTTGGAGCTGCCTGCTCTGAGTAAGCATGACACCCCAGACCCCTATTCTTTGACCTGGGTAGTTTTGTTTCACAGCCTCTCTCTCTCACTCCATCACCAGCCCACGTATGAATGTGGGCTCTCAAGGAAGCTGGCTGGGCAATGGCAGGAGTGGCCAAGCTAGCTCTTGCTAGTTTTGGTCAGTTCAGGGGCAACTTTTGGTTCTCAAGCCCCTTGGCTGAGTGAGGAGGGCAGCTGTGAGCGGCTCTTCTTCCTCGTCACTCTCTCCAGCTGCTCTGTCTCTTGTGAGCACCCCTGGCTTCTACAAGCCTTGGCTTCCTTCTAGTGCCACCCTTGTCTATCTCGTATCAGACACTTGGCCCTCATCCTTTTTAAGGTCCCAGGGTCTCTGCAGTGCTTCTGGAAGAGGGCCAATAGCTTTTTGTTCAGTGAGTGAATGAGTAATAGTGATATGAAGTGATATGTAAATAGAATCAATTTTCAAAGACAATGCTGTATAAATTCTCTGAAGTTTTTATTGCAAAGAGATGAGGAAGGTCCATTTGTTCTTTGGCAGAATTAATAAAAGTAGAGAAACTAAAATAAAAGAAATAATAATTCTCTAGGTCCTGACATGTTTGAAATAGTGTGTTTGGGTTGACATTTTCTGTTCTTTTAATTTTAGTCAAGAATATATCAGGAGGAAGAAAAGTCAGTGACAGTTTTCAGCAGAAAACAAGGGGTTATATATCTAACTGGCAAGAAGGATTTGATTAAATTTGAATTAATTTGACCTTTACAAACTCAAAGGAAAAGAAAATAAAACTCAGAATGGGGAAATCCCTCAACTAAACCCAGGAAGTCTGCACCTGAATTTATCTCAGTCTTGGTCAATAATTTGCCTTCTTCTACTGGTATCTGGAAATTGTTTTCAGTGGGTAAAATTGGGAGTGCTATCTGTGCATCTAGAGAGCAAGAACTCTCTGGATTGACCCAAATGGGTTCCTGCTGTCATTTCAGATGGAATTGATGTAGTTAAGCATGAATTTCCTGGCAAGCACAAGGGTTGGATTTTCCAAAAGGCATTTTAGACCACGAATGCACAGCCTTTCCATGTCTAATCATGAAAGCAAAACTCTGGACACATGCTGTCTGTTTCTAGCTGGTTGTGTATGTTTTCTTCACACTCCAACAAAAATGTGCCAAAGTGTGACCTTTATGAACCCCACCAACTTGGAGCTGTGCACACAAATCTGTCTTGCCTGAAGTGTGGGAAAGTGATGAATGGGGGCTGTTCTGCCTGGAGAGGAGGGCTGCTGTCACTCTGGCGTGCCTGCAGGCTTATTTATTGCACACCAAAGTATAAAACCACCCAGCCCAGCTGCAGTTCTCATCTGCAGCTCTGGCATTTACCCGAGGAGACCACAACGCCTGGAGCCCCCGTCATCGTCCCAAGGAGGCTCTGTGGCTCTGTTGAAAATCATGCTTGGGAGGCAGATCATCTGTTGGCACCTGTTGGCTTTGTTTTTTCTCCCCTTTTGCCTGTGTCAAGATGAATACATGGAGGTGAGCGGAAGAGCTAATAAAGTGGTGGCGAGAATAGTGCAGAGCCACCAGCAGACTGGCCGTAGCGGCTCCAGGAGGGAAAAAGTGAGAGAGCGGAGCCTTTCTAAAACGGGGACTGTGGATAATAACACTTCTACAGACCTAAAAACTCTGAGACCAGATGAGCTACCGCACCCAGAGGTGGATGATCTAGCCCAGATCACCCCGTTCTGGGGCCAGGTACTCTGAATTCTCTTCTAAGGATTTCTATGAAAGCTGAATGACTGTTGTTGTTGTTGTTGTTGTTGTTGTTATTGTTGTTGTTTGGGCTAAGATTCTTATAATCAGTACTTGACAGCAGTTTGCTTAAGTTGTGTGTGGGTTGCTCCGGCTTAGCAAGGTGACTGCCAGTCTCTTCCAAAGATGTGCTGGGATAGAGTGGCCATAGCATTGCCTCATTAGAAAGGGAAGCTGGGCAGCCAACTTCTTGTTGTTCTGGGTTCTGATTTCTTTCTTGCTCTGTTGGTGCAGAAAAGAATGCTGATTCGTGCAGACAGACATAACACTACAGATAGTCATTTGCTGATCCTAAAAAGGACTGTGTTCATCCTTCTCAGCAGGGAAAAGCTGTCCTTTGAATTTGCCAAAATCGGTCAAAGGCTTTTGCTTTGATGTGTGAGTTTACTCTAACTCACACCAGTCTTATTTATTTGATTTATAATATTCCAGGTTGCTAAACCTCTATGTGCAGCCTTTTAAAAAGAATTAAAGAGTTTAACCCAAAAAAGATTGCATGAGTAAAATTCAAATTATGTACTATCACTTGATACCTGATGATCATAGAGGGGCTGTTTCTCCAGGGATATGTTCAGCATCTAAGGAAATTTTTTGAACTCTTTTGAGGGTGGTATGGGAATGAGTTGAGATGTCACTGTAGCAAATTGCAAATTGGTGGAGCTCAATTTAATTTAAAACACTAAAAATAGGAATAACAGATTTTGACTTACATCCTAAGCTTGTAGTATGCTGACATTGGATGGGCACAAAGTTACTTTTAATCATATGATCTTTGTACCAATAGCTTTTACTACAAGAGCTAATGGCTTTTATGGATTAAATGGGCCCAGTAATTATTCATATGGCTGAAATCTAAACCCCTGTAGGCACAGATTGAGATGTTTGGGTTTATTATCTGGTTATATACTCAAACCACATCAAACACAGACTTGGGTGTAGATCTGGGACTAATCTGGGATTTCTAACTGGACCAGACAGGGCAGTTTTCCAAATCTTTCTATGGGGTTGTGCCAAGGGGAAGTTGTTTTTTTAAGGAGTCACAAGGGAAATGATAATGTTTAAATACAATGCCTCATTCAGAGATCATCCTTTCATCTAACAGTCTTTTGGCCAAGGAATGATTAATGCTAATTTGTGTTTTCCTTAGTGGTCAAAGCATTTTAACTTTTGACCAAGTCATGATCTGGGCTTTTCATTCCAATAGAAGGTGTCCTTCCTGGGCATGACAATGTAAGCCCCCAGAGGCAGAAGAAGGTAGTCACAGGGTATCATCAATCGTTATTTCCTGGCCACCAACACTCAGCAAGAAGTCCAAATTGTATTTGTACCTCACCTTCTGGTCCTGGGTTCCTGAAACAAACCCTCTAAGGAAATTTAGAGCCACTGATATTATGGAAGTTTTCTATTCAGCTCTTTTACCAATGGATATAGGCAAAATGAATTTAGGATTACAATATGTTCTCTATTTTTTCGCTACTTCTCCCTCCCTCTTCTTTCATCTTAATTCTCCTTTTTCTTCATCCATCACTCTCTCAAGAATTACTTGGGCTTTTACACTGAAGCAAGCTTTAGGATGGGGATCAAGAATATAAACACACCCAAGCTTTTATCTCCAAGCCCTCCTAAAGTACTTTAGTTGGGATATTTTGTTAATTTAGTTAAGTTTGATTAAATACTATGTGATAAGCATGGTCAGCACATACACAAAAGGCAGTTGGGAAATAAAGTAGTGTTGGTTCTTGAGTTGGATCTTAAAAGATGAGACAGAAGGGCCAGGGATTTAGCTCAGTGGTTCCTGTGCCTGCCTCAAAAGCACAAGGTCCTGAGTTTGATCCCCGGTACTCAAAAAAAAAAAAAAAAAAAAAGATGAGAAAGAAAGAAAAGCTATTCATGGCAGAGATTAAAAAAAAAAAGATTATGCCCTAGCAAAGAGATTTGAGAGAGCCTGTGATGAGGTAAGTATATCTGGAGCTCCTGAGTTATAGGAGAAAGACATTAAAGGATTTGAGTGCAAGGCTGGGAAGGATTCTTCTAGCTGGTAAAGGAGCTTAGATTTTGTTATCAAAAGTTTGTTTTTTTCATGACAGGTTGATGAGGTAATCATATTTTTAAAACAACAGGTGGGTATAGAATTCATGGTGGACCAGTATAGACAGGGGTTTGGGGTGGGCACACTTATATTCTCTTTTCCTGCCATGTTCTTCTCCATAGCCTCTTTGTCATTTTTATTTCTCAGTCTCCTATCCCCTTCCTGGGAATTCATTTACCCTCTTCCCATTTCCCTTCTCTTTGTTTCTCTTTCCTCTTCTTCAGATTGAAGAAGAAACTATGGGCTTTCTTTCTCATTAATAGTAGTACTCACTTCTGCAGAACTCCTCTAGGCTCCCATCTGCAAAATGGATGGGCTTTGTCCTAGAGACAACCCTTTCCTCCCATGCCACTCATTTGCATGACTTCAGTGTACAAATTCTACCTGATTTTGGAAAAGGGATGATAAATTTAAAAAGTTAATAAATAGCAATATCACATATGAACTTTGTCCCTTATGAAGGAGAAAACTTCTGAATCAACTCATCCTGTCCAACTTCTTCCAAATCCATCAAAAGCCTAACCAGCATTGTTCCATTTGACTGAACTTTGAAAGATAAGGCTAGAGGGAAGAGCATGTAATAAAGGTCATAGAAGGGTTCTCAGGAGGTGCCCAATTATCAGTAATTGGAAGTCTCGCACTGCACTGAACTGATGGAAGCTTTGTGTTTCTGAAGTGTTCCAAAGTAGGTTGCTCATGCACCACTAGTCCTAGCTACCTCTGGCACTGAGCAACCCCATCTTCTGGTACCTAGACACTGGACACTTAAAAAAAAGCTTTCTAAATTATTGTTTGAGATTTTGGAAAAACTTCAAGTGCCCTTGTTTGCAATACAACTAGGAAGAAAACTCATGACTGCCTCACTCACTCCTCTAGCTTAGTAGACAAGAACATTGATGTCTAGGAAGAGTGATTTTTCTAAGGTCATGCAGAACTGAGATGGGAATTGTGATTGTAGTCCAGTGGTGGTTTTTCTGAATTTTTAAGTATCTCAGTATTTTCATTCTATTCTCACATAAATAGTTCCACTTCAGGAGTTTCCCTCTTTCCCTTCTCTCTGATTCCAAATCTATCATTGGCAGAACTCTGAGGTTTAAATGCTGCATTTCACATTCACAAAACCCTACCACAAAATTCAGAACACATACTTCTCAGATTGCATCTTTGTTGGAAAGGCGAGGTGATGCCATGATGTCTTTACTTTCCAAGTGTTCCCAAATCCCTGTCTTAGGCCAGTTTCTGTAGTTGATTTTTCCTCCCTGTACCAATTTGACAAAAGGTTTTCTTAGACTCTCTACCTGTCCTGGGTTTGGTCTAGTAGAATGAAGACAAGACTAAGAATTAGCTTCAAATTGTAGCTTCTGATCCTGCACCTCTTGGGTTCTGAGTGTTGGTAGAATGCTTGGTCCACAGGCTACCCTGAGCTTTTCTCTAAAGAGCTTTGTGGAAAACTTAAGTGAAAAGAGAGCACAAAGACTAAGCCCCCTTTTTGCTCAAACAAACAAATAAATGTAAATTCTAAATGTACTGCAATATGCAATTTTCACCCAGCTTCCTACTTGGATTCCTAGTAATGAAGAAAATGGGACTTTTATATTTTTCCCTGACTCCTTCTCTCCTTCCCTCTTTCCTGTCTCTTTTTCTCTCCTTTCTCCCTCCCTCGTTCCCTTCCATTTTAAAATTAATTCCATAGCAACAACATGCTGTTTTCAGAAGACTGTTGAATTATAATTGTCTAGGCAAGTTTCCACAAGTATTTTGCATGACATAATTAAAAGACAAGTTGCCAAGTTAGGTGAGAATCCACATCCTACAAGCAACTCTAACTCTCTTTCCCATAAGCTTTCTCTAAATCTCTAGTTCCTTCACAGTAAGTCATATTTTAGAAATATATCAGTACAAGTAAGCATTTTACTTTGTGTCATATTTGAGCATAATGAATTTGAATTTAGTGTACATTAAATATTGGTTCAAACAGCAGTATAATCACGTCAAATTTTGAAGTAGAATATGTGAAGCATTAGATCTTATTAAATACTTATAAAAAGTTATTTGTTTCAAGATATAAATACTTAATAAAAATGTACTGGACACATAGTTTATGATAATGCTTTATATTCTTTACAATTGCTAAGAGAGTAAATTTTCAGTGTACACACCACAGGAAAAAGTATGTGAGGTAATGAATATGTCAATTTGCTCAATTTAGCCATTGTATACACAAGAACACACACACACACATATATATAGCAAAACAATATGTTGTATATGATAATTACATATAATTTCTATTTTTCAATTAAATACATAAATGAATGTGTTGGTTTAAAGACTATTTTATTTCTAATTTACTAAGGCAATTTAAGTGCACTGTGGTTATTTGCAATGGTAGATTACAATTCAGAGTTTCTAAGAATTCTTAATCCAACTCATAAATCAGTATCAGAAACATAATGTTTAATAGCTTGTTTGAAGTAGTTGGTTTTGTAATTTGAGGATCATCTGTCTACTCATTTTTGCTATGTCAGAGGGTACGGGGTACTGCAAAAGAGGAAAGTCTTCAAGTCCAATTCTGAAGGAGTTTCTGGCTTTTCTGTCCTGGGTAGCAGCAGAAAAGTACTGCCTGGAAGTACTGCCTCCTCTTTTCACAGTCCCATTCCCATACAGTCCAAAAGTGCACATTTCTCTGTCACTTTCTGTTGTCTTCCCTTAAATCATCCAGTCATTTTATGTATTCCTTGAGTCCTAAGCCTTCAGTACTCCCACCCCAGACCCATACTGTCTTTTCTGATGTAGTTGTCAATTGACTGAAGTTAAACTTACTTAAAGGTCCAGGCCAGAGGAAAATTAAAAATTCCTTATGGCTCACAAGTGCCTTTCCCTTAAATTTCTCTATCTTTTTAAAGTCCCCACAAACTGGAGGACTGCCTCCAGATTGCAGCAAGTGTTGTCATGGAGACTACAGCTTCCGAGGCTATCAAGGACCCCCTGGACCTCCAGGCCCTCCAGGCATTCCAGGTAAGGAAGACAAAGATGTAAAAATATACCACCAGTGTAGCTGCAGACATTGCTGGTGGGAATGTAAACTAGTACAAACACTATAGAAATCAGTAGGGAGAATCTTCAAAAAACTGAAATTACATTTGACCCAACTATTTTCCTACTAGGTATCTTTCTGAAAGACTTAAAGACTTCATATTACAGTGATATATGCATATTCATGCCTATAGCAGCACAATTCATAATAACTAAGTCTTGGAAATGTCTTATATGTACATCAACAGATTGGATAAAGAAAATGTGGTATTTATATATAATGGAGTATGACTGTGCCATAAAGAGGGATAAATGTGAGTCATTTGTAGAAAAACGGATGTTCCTTGAGACCATAATGTTAAGTGAAATTAATTAGACACACAAGCTTTCATATTGCATAGTTTCTCTTATATGCAAAACTCAAAATATAAATAAAGAGCAAATTAAATGATAGATAATAGAAATTAAGGATATATATCTTTTTCCAGTGAGAAGGGATCAAGAGAGGGAGCAAAGAGGGAAGTAGGAGAGGGGAAGGGAATGAAAAAAAGAGTTGAGATGCATTATGTGCACATACCAACTCCCCACATGGAATGTAATCATTACATATTGCAAACATGTACTAATAAAAACTAAAAAAAAAAGGAATAAAAGAAAATCCTGAAATAAGAGCCAAGGGCAACCCTACATAGTTTGGGAACACTAAAGGGTATGCATGGAAATCTCAAAAGAAAGAGAGTTGGGTGGGAGAGTTGAGTTTATTAGGTCAGTTCAGGTGGAACACTAAACACTATAGTGTTTGTTCTCTACTCAAAGAATCCAAAAGGTTCCAAGCACCATGAGGTACCTGACTCATAGGTTGGGAGGATCTTTGCCAATATCTAGAATCGAACTACTAACTCTTTCCTGGACCTGCTCTTAGTGCCACTGCTGCAGTCAGCTTTCTGCTACCATAGCAAGTACCTGAGATTGTCAGCTTACAGAGAGAAAAGGCTTGTTTTGTCTTACAGTTTTGGAGGCTTCAGTCCATGATTGAATGGCCTCATTGCATTTGAGCCTGTCATGGGGGCAATACATCATGGTGAGTAGCAAAGCTGTTCACCTCATGGTGGCCTGGAAGTGAAAAAGCAGAAGAGAAAGATACCTCGCTTCAGGGGTTTGCCTCCAGTGACCTATGACCTCCTACTAGACCCCAACTCATAAAGTTTCTCCCACCTCCCCACAGCACCATATTTGCTGTGGGGACACTTATCTAAACCATAGCAGCCAGTATTTCTGCCACAGGGTGCTTTATGCAGTACACGATATCTAACTTTCAGGAGATTTATGAAGTAGAGGCAGGCAGAGAGGAAAGCTTACTGGGCTGGGTTATAGTCATCTTCATGGTGTCATTTACTGAGCGGCACATCTTTCTATGTGTTTCTAAGTCAAGCTAAGCCCTTCACCCCTAGTCTCAGTGGTCTCTCAGCTTATTTTCATGCCTCACTTGGGCTCATGGAAATATTTCTGAGCTCCAACACCACAGAAAGGCACAGGAAATACTCAGAGCTACATTGGCTCTCTCTAGACTTACAGTGTAGACATCTATACCATACTTCTCCAGTCTCAGGCTTAGGGGCCTTTTGGGAAATGGCTAATGCACTGGGTTGGCTGAAGAAAGGGTGTACCTAATCGTCTTTACCCCATGACTCCCAAAACTATCAGGGTTTGCTGCACTTTTTCCTTGTCATTCCCAAAAGGTAGGACTCCTCTCAATGTTTGGCTAAAGTCTATTTGATCTTCATTGATTTATTCCCACTGAAGTTAATATTTATCAAAAATAGTTCAACTTTTTATACTTTTGAATTTCTTCTCATGTGAACCAAATTCCTAATGAAAAATTCCTTTGTTAGATTAAAACCATGATTACTGACATAGGACCTATGCCATTGTCCATCAAGGGCAGCCACCCACAGGAGCATTAGCTAGGGAATATTCAAATTCTTCCAGGCCTAACCTCCTCTGAGGTTATGGAACAGAATGCCTTGGTTAAATATTCCCCATCAGGAATTGACTTTCTAACCACATTGACCTGTAAAAAAAGTTCATCCATCTGGAATGATGGCAAACCTGATGCGATGCCTGAGAAGCAGTACATAAAATAAAAAGTAAAAGGGTCTGGGATTTAGCTCAGTGGCACCATGCCTGTATTTTAAGCACAAAGCCCTGAGTTCGATCCTCAGTACCAAAAAAATTTAAAAAAGAAGAAATGACACTAGTTTGTGCTCATTTCGGCATTACATATACTAAAAAGCAAGACTAATTCACCAAATGTAAAAATAAGGAAGAAGTACAGAACTCATTTTTTTGTAGGAAAGTGAGGCATTGAAACTGTTATCAAAATCTTCCTTTCAAAATTAGTGACTTTTTAATCAATGAATTTAGTTTACCACAGTTATTAAAGTGATACATACATACATAGAAAACTTCAGAAGGACAGAAAAATACATATAGAGTGACAAAAAAAAAATCACTCATTTCATCCATTTAGGGAAAAAACCTAAATATTTTCATGTAATTTATTCTAGTCTTTTTTCTGTAGATATTATATATACATAGTTTAAAAAAATATACTATAGCATCTCCATTTATAACATTTTGATGTTAAAATATCATGGCTATCACTATATCATTACTATATTTCTTCAGTATTATTTTCATTTACTATTCTATGCCATTTAATAATTTAAATTGTTTAGTATTCATGGATATTTTCGTGCTTTCTAATCTTTGTTACTTTAAATGATAATGCAATGATCAGTCTTTCACACAATTTTTCAAACAAGCCTTGCTTTATAGAACAACAGGCTTTGAGGCCTTAGGATATCTAAGCTACTTCCAGAGCCCAGTTTAAAACAATAACAACAACAACAACAACAACAAAAACAGCCTGTTTGATGATGCCCCTTGGGTATATTTGTGATAATTTGAAATGAACCTCTTTTACAATTTATTTGGGATATTTTTAAAGGAAGAGGTTGTGTTGGTCTAAAAACTGATGATAAGTAAATGGGACTGGGTTTTCACATGTAATGATGTCTGGTTATTTAAGGAAACCATGGAAACAATGGAAATAATGGAGCCACTGGCCATGAAGGGGCCAAAGGTGAGAAAGGAGACAAAGGTGACCTGGGTCCTCGAGGGGAGCGGGGGCAGCATGGCCCCAAAGGAGAGAAGGGCTACCCAGGGATTCCACCAGAACTGCAGGTAAATTGCCCTGTACACATCCATAGGTCACCTCTCAACCTGCCGGACTAGTAGGAATTAGGAGTCAGAAGGTTTAAATTCTTCTTCAAGTTTCATCAATCTTGAATAAATCTGAGGCCTAATTTGTTGTTTTGGTACTGGGGATCAAACTTGGGACCTTGAGCTTGTGAAGCAGGCAGCAGAACCACTGAGCTAAATCCCTGGCCCTTAATTTGTTTATCTTAATCAAAGGATGTTTGCATAAGACTTATCCTGTATCAACAGAGAGTTTTAAAATCATTTTTAGGGAGGAGAAATTTATAGACCGAAATCCAACTCTACATTAAGTGCAAATATTCCACAAGGTGACCTTAAATATAAACTCATCTCTTGTTTTTCTGATGAGAAGAGAAGTTAAACTAGAAAGGTTTTGGCCAACTTCAATATGTAAACTTTTAGACATATAAATGCAATGGCTAAATATCTTATTTTATTTATTGATATGGCTACATTTATACATTTAAATCACATACACAGATATTAACCTATATTGTTTTCTATCAACTCAGATTTTTATAGCTCAATTTTCATTTATTACTTTATTCCACAAATGGTAATATTTCCTATATATCTCTTTGTGTAAATAAGTACCACTCTATATTTGAAAATATATATATAAAATTAATACATACTCATGTGAAAATTATAGTTGTAATGAAGAAAGACAAAAATACTGATGAAAATTCTACAGAGCCCCACTGATAATAATTTTGTGGATATTCTTGCAGATATTTTCTTCAATTTGTCCATACAATAACCCCACCTACACAGACACACATAACAAAATCTGGTACCAAGTCATAGTGATTCTGTGTGACCTACTTTTTAATTAACAAATGTATTAAAGACATTTTACCATTGTATATGTGTTTGTTTGTACATATACATTTAGATCAAATAATTTCCATGTGTATTAAAAGAGTTTGCTCTGTGAAAAATTAAAATTTCTATAAGATTTGTCTTTAGGAAAATTAAATGCAGCATTAGAAAAATTAAAAAGGTTGCTCCACTGCAGGGTTTCTCAGATGCCTTAATATGCTAATATGCATTTAATAGCTACAATCCAAGTATTTTATTCAAATTTCCCCAGTATTATTTGACAACAGAATTTTAATATTTCTAAAAGTGTTCTGAAGACCAATGTTATTTGAAACATATGTTCAGAACTGTTGATATACATTGATATTCAATTGGCTACATCACATAAAAAGTTAGAAAATATTAGAAATTACTGTAATTTATTTCCTTCTCTCTCCATGTTTAAGTTATTTCCAATTATGCCATTACAAATAATGTCACAAAGACTATTACTTTAAGATAAATTGGTTATTAATTGAGCATCAACTTCTTCCTTAGATTGCATTTATGGCTTCTCTGGCAACTCATTTCAGCAATCAGAACAGCGGGATTATTTTCAGCAGTGTTGAGACCAACATTGGAAACTTTTTTGATGTCATGACTGGCAGATTTGGGGCCCCTGTATCAGGTAAGATGCACAATTAAATTCATGATTGAATCAACCTGGAAATCAAAGAGAAGGCGATCAGGGATCATTAGGCTCTCACAGTTTATTTTCCACTTTGACAGTGATAACATGGAGAAGGCTGATTTTTACAATTACAGCAGCACAAAAGACCTGGAAATCATAAGGCAAACACGTTGGCCCCCATTTCATTATCTTCCCTTGCCCAGGAAAGCCACGGGAAAGTGCAATATGTATTTAGCTCTCTATTTCCACTTCGAGGGATTTAATTTATTCTCCATCTGGTTTCTTAGTCTGCTCTTTTAAAAATGTTTTTGACATTTATTTTTAATAGTTCTCATCATTTTTTTGGGGAAAACATACACTTCCCTGTCATTTTTTGTTTTGGTACCAGGGATTGAACTCGGGACCTTGCGCTTGCGAGGCAGGAGGTGGAACCACTGAGCTAAATCCCCGGCCCTTTCCCTGTCGTTTTGATTCTAATTTTATCTTGTTAAGGCATGGAAAATTGTCTTGTGTATATGCATGTGTGTGTGTGTATGTATGATATGAAATCTTATAAAATGTAAAAAACTCAACACATATAAATTAGATTCTTTACATCCTTTTATATCTGACTTTTCCTCTGTAGGCCAATCTCTAGGTATATAAATGGGCACAACTAACTTTTATATCATTTCCTAGCACATTTAATATGCATTTCTGGCATTAAACAAAATGTAAACATACTTCTATTTGGTTCAATTTGATGGTCCAACATGGTTTCTGTCAGGTAGGCCGAAGACCAAGACCAGACCAGGCCACAACAAGCCTTTATTAGGGGAACAGATCTGCCGGGCTGTCTCTGAACAAAGGAGAGACAAAAGCAATATGGCCGAGGCAGGGGGAGTCTTTTATAGAGACTGGGGTGGGGTTTGTAGGGGCTGAGGTGGGGTTGAGTGAGGTAGTGACTAGGGAATGGAGGAGCCGGTGATGTCACTAGGTGGTAGGAGGTGAGCAAGTATTAGGTTACTATCTAGGCAGGAACAGGGGCATGCTGGGAAGAAGGATTTATTCTTTGGTGGGAGCAAACATCTTGGCATGATGTCACACAGGGGAAGGGGCAAGGCACCATAGGAAGAGGGCAGCTACTATACATAATAGCTGCTGAGGTAGTGGGAGACCTATCAGTTTCTATCTCACTTGATTATACCTTTGCAAAAGACATAGGCTGTGAGTGCTTTTTTCCTTTTCCTTTTTTATATGTTTGTGGGTTTTTCTCTTGCAAGGTCATTAGTTTTAAACTGTAATATGGAAACCAAAAAGGTTTGATGATTTATATTCATTCAACTTTCCAAAATGCACTTCCAAATCCAAAATCATTTGTAATTGGGAAAATTTTCCTTTCAGCTTCTCTGTCTGCTGTTGGACTGATATTCAATAAAAGTATTTTTGTGCTGGAATTCAGAGGATATTAAGTCATGTTAATTGTTTTACATTAAGAGCCTTAAGCTGTTCTAAGAAAACACACATCTTTTAAAATTTTAGTCTTTTCAAAAAATAAGTAAAAGTAGCAGACTTTTAGTAACAAGATTGTGTTTCTTTGTTGAAGTTGAATCTTTCTAGTTATTATGTAAAGTTCACAGACTTACTGTGAACAACATGAGAAATTACTGGAACTATTTGTTTTGAATTATGAAATATTTATTGTGCAAGCCAGTTTTCTTTATCTTCAACTAACATTTGGCAAGTATAGTTATGCATTAGGCCACAGAACACCATGTGCTTATTTATAGGACTCTGTGTTTTGTCATTGTGAGTCCCATGGTAGAGGCTAATATTAGTCAACTGATGTTTACAAATGGGATGGAATTTGTCCCAAATCCTGTTTCAGGGATCAAGTAAATAAAAATGCAGTTAACACAAGGTAGACTCTTTCCCTTAAGACTTTTAAAAATCTTATTAGGGATACAAATTGAGAAACTCTCAAAATTTTAAAGCACCTTGAAGGTGAGCAAATAAAGGGACACTTTCACATATAAAGACCAAAAGAAACCACATAGTACACACAATATCAACAAAAGAAATATGACGTCTTTGTTATCTTCCGATCCTCAGTGCACAATATGTTAATATAAACATGGACAAATCCCTACCTGCCTTTTTCAGGTGTGTATTTCTTCACCTTCAGCATGATGAAGCATGAAGATGTGGAGGAAGTACATGTGTACCTTATGCACAATGGAAATACAGTTTTCAGCATGTACAGGTGGGTGGTCTTTTCTGTCATATATTGCCATAATTTGTAGAAAGAAAATCCAATGACAGGGAAAGATGTAGGAATCAACAAAGCATACACCAATAATGTGAATAATGTGTGTGGCTCAAAATAAATCGGATGAAATTGCACAACAGCATGTTGATGAGAGGCCTTGAGATTATTACTAGCACCACTCCCAAAATCAATCATTTGGATTCTTTTCTTAACTCATTAGTTTTTCCTTCTCTCCCTCCCATTTTTTCTGCTTTCTCCACTCCTCTCCCTTTTGCATGAGGCTTAGCATTGGCGGTAGTCTTCTCTCCCATCACCTGCTTGGGCACATGAAGAAGTTTGGGAGTCCCTTTCTTCCCTGCTTCTGGTCCCTGGCCTGTGCTGCTGCTCTGATACTTATCCTACCAGCCTGGTCCTTGGGCTCCCTGGGAAAAATTATTTATAAAGCAATATTGCACTTTGTTCTGATGGTAGCCTAGGATGTGGCAGAGAAGCAGAGAGCTAACATCTTTCCCATAATTAAATGAGCTATTGTTATCAGATAGTCTCCTTCTAGAAATAGTTGGCCAAATAAATGTTACTGGGTTTTAGGGTGCTTGTGTCTTGGTTTCCAGGTTCTTTTCCCTTCAAACAAAGAATTGGATGAGACAAGCAAAAATGGTGCAAAAGTTTATTTGAAAAAGTAAAGGTGAAGTGAAGGGAGAAACTGGCTCTGCAGAGCAAACTAGAGCCAAGTAAGAGAGGAAAAATAAAAAGTAAAAGCCAAAATAAAAGTATAACCTGGGGAACATAGGGCTGACTACAGTGAAGAAAGCCATGACAGTGGGCTTTTGATGGTCTGTGTCCTTTTATTTCTTCAACGCATTGCAGAACCTGCAAGAAGTCCATATACAGGGCCTTGGGAATTATTTGGTGCATGTGTCATGGAATCAGGTCACACTTACTCCTCCAAACAAATCTGCCATGTCCTGCTGTCCTGCCTCACTTTGAACTATGAAGAACTCTGTGGCTGTTTGTTACATTTTCCCCTGTTATTTCTATACTTGATCTTAGCCAAAAGGCCAAGAAGTGATTTTCCCTGTTATTTCTGATGACTTGTGATCATTGTATTAAATGCAGTGGGTTCAGGTCTAGGGACCCCCAAACTCACCCTATCCAGGCTTGTTTCTCTTTCAGGAGGAGGAAGAGGAGTCAGAGAAGACCACTGTAAAGCAAAAACTTTATTGCAAGAAGCGGTACAAAGCAACTCCAGGGGAGGAATGGGGCCACTCAGAGCTGAGTCACCACCAAATCTGGGGCAGTGGTCCTGTTTTATTGGGTAGGGACCCTGTCTTCACACCCTGTGAGGGTTGACACTAGATTGATTGGATATTGGACTTATGGTAGAGGTTTGATTCTGTAGGCTAACACAGGAATTTGGGCAGGCACAGCAACCTGCACCAGGAGGGACAGTGTTGTTTGCACACAGCCAGGTGTCAAAACCACAGACTGCCAGCCCATTTTAACCACCCACAAGCAGCTCTCAGAACTACAGGCTGTCAGCTCTGCTGTTTGCTGAGATGCAGGGGCTGTTTCCTTTCTACTTCTTAAAGGGGCCCAGTTCCCTAACCTAACCCTATATAAGGGTCCTGACTGTCCCTACAATTGTTTTCTTCTGGAGCCTGGCCTGAAAGGGAAGTTATATTTGAGATGCGAGAAGCAGAAAAAGATGAGTTACTGTAGGTGAAACTACTTCAAGAAATCAGAATATAATGGCTCAAGCGTGCTAGAATTATATTTTTCTTGACCAATACAGGGCAAGGGCCCAGGTTGGGGAAGCAAGATGGTGGCAGGAAGGTTAGAGGAAGACATTGTGCAAAGGTCAGGAGAAGGGTTTTCCTCCTGGATTTTGAGAGACTCAGCTGATGAAATCAACTCTGCCATCAATAAAACTGACTTATAAATTCTTACTGATTATCATCACTGCTGCAGTCAGAAGAAGTAAAGTATAATAACCTTCTAGTATTTTTTATGCATCAGATATTGTGTTCAGGGAACTCAATCACATTATTCCTAACTCCACCTAACCAATGGAAAGGCAAAAAGGAAATGTCCTGAAGCTCCTTATAGAGGAGTGGATTCCAGAAAACAGCTATCCTTCTCTGACTCTCTGGACTCCAAATATCTGTTGAGCTCTTCTTCTTACATTTAGAATACATATCACCCCATCTCTACTCCCATTGGAGATGCCTAAGCCACTGCTCATATACCAAGCTCAAAACTTAGATTCAGAAATCAACAGTCCTTTTCTTCAAATTAGTCTCTCTGTTGTTTCTCTTTGTCCTGGATTCTGTTCTCTGGGTGGGTCTTCTTTTGTCTGTTTTTATCCATGGCCCTATCTTTGTTGGTTTTTTTTTTTTTGGTACGGGGATCCAACTTGGGTCCTTGCGCTTGTGCAGCAGGTGGCGAAAACACTGAGCTAAATCTCCGGCCCTCCGTGGCCCTACCCTAAAGGTGAGTAGTCTTTCTCATGGCTCTTTCATAGCCCACTTTCTCCTGTTGTGAATTTGAAAGCTAGGTCAAAAATTCTAAATCATTTTTAGTCCATGTTGGGTCTTTGGTAATAACATGCCATTTCCTTAGAAACCTAGGAGGCTTTTGCTCTGATTGCTACCAGTGACATTTGTAAATCAATCACACTCAATGTCTTTTTTTTCCCCTGTCTGGGACTGGGAATTGAACCAAGGACATTTGCACTGAGACACCCTCCACCTTATCTTGAGACAGGGTCTTTTTAAGTCACTAAATTGCTCAGACTAGGCTTGAACTTGGATCCTCCTACCTCAGCCTCTTAAGAGTTCTGGGATAACAGCCATGTGCTACTATGCTGGGCTCCAAGGTACTTTTCTTGACAGGCATTTTTTAGGCTATTCATTTGCTAACTTGTCTTTCCCCCTTACTCTCAATGTAGAGCTAGTTACCCTGAGACCTTTTAAAACAATAGATTTGAGTAGAAAGGCAACTTTTTCAACCTTGTTAGTCCCCAACCATGTAGAGTCCATTTACTTCTAATTTATTTTTGTTTGAACCCTGTCAGTTCTTATTTGGAGTCATCTTCTGTAGAAACATTTAAAGTCCTTTGTCTAGTCATTTCCCTTACTTATGGAGCATGCATTGTCTTTCTTCTTGTTATTACATATTTTGCCATAGCATAGTGATATAGGGGGAAGAGATGTAACTCCCAAACCTACTAGATATCCAAAAGGCAAGTTTGAATTCTCTAAAATCAAAGAATGGGGCTGGGATTTTAGCTCAGTGGTTCCGGCACCTGCCTTGCAAGCACAAGCACCCGAGTTCAATCCCCGGTACCAAAAAAAAAAAAAAAAAAAAAGAATGCACAACAATATTGGCTGGGGATTTAGCTGAGTGGTTCCGCCGCCTGCCTTGATAAAATCAAAGAATGAATTCTAGGAACAACAGAGGTTAAGAGTAGGAAAACTTTATTGGGAGAAAGAAAGCTTGTGCCTAAGACTGAAGGGGGACCAGAAAGTGGGTTGCCCGCTCACCCCACTTTTCAAAGATGTTTTATACAGCAAAACCATGTGGTGAGGTGGGTACAAAGTGGGACAAAGCTATAAGACCCAATGGAAATTTACAAGCTGGGCATGAGGTGGGACAAAACCATGACCAACCAATAAGATTACAAGTACAGTCACCTAGGTAATATTGATTAAATGGGGATCAAATGGGAAGACAAATCACATACAAGGAATTTCCCATTTAGAATATCAATCACTGGTATCTATCTCTAGGGGAAGTAATACTTCTTTTCCTTTTTATAATGCTAACCAGTGAACTTGCCTCAATTGTTCTCCAAGTTAGCTCCTTGCTGTGTTGTCTCCTGGAGGGCTGGTCCAATCTAACTGCACAGAAGATATCTAACTGGGCAGGGGATTTAGCTCAGTGGTTTTGCTGCCTGCTGCACAAGCCCAAGGACCCAAGTTTGCAAGGAACCCAGTTTGATAGCCGGTACCAAAAAAAAAAGAGAGAGAGATTGAATTAACATACCTATCTGCAATATTCCCCCCTCTGAAGAAGTATCCCTAATTGCTGTGAGGGGGCAAAGGGCAAAGACCATTCTGGCTACTTCCAGCTGAAGAGGGTGGTAGTTGTCATCAGCAGTTACAGCTACTCTACAAAAGGGTCTATCTAAAGGCCCTCGATAGGTGCCAGGCATTGTCATTTTGGTAGCTGTATAGCTTTGAGTCTGGAGGAGACAAAAGCCAAAGAAACAGTTAAGAATATATGGGCTAAATAATAAGGTCAGCAGAACTGATATGAATATAGTCAACAAGGGTTTCCACTGGGAGGAGCTAGTAATAGACTCCCACAGAGGATAAGGAGAAGGTCCAGGGGACTTCAGAATCCCAACATAGAAGTCCTATTACATAGTTTAGGAGTTATAAACTGTTTACAAGGTCAATATGGTGGATCCCAGTAAAAGAAGTCTAGAACATTTGTCATTCGTTCCATTTGTATGACTTCTTGGAGTTTGGCAGCCTCTAGGCAAGAATAAACAAAACTTTTAAGAAATTAGAGCATGTATAATCTAAGCATGAGCACATTAGAATGGAAGGGCAGGTTGGGAAGAAAGTCACACTTAGAAATTAAAATAGATTGTAACCTGCTGGCTCTTACATTCTTTCATTGATAAAGTTTATGTATAAGTCCGATACTTTGTTATACATCTCTCTACTTTTAGCTGTAAGAAGAGACAACTTGAAGAACAAATCTTGCTTAAGAAATTTAAAACTCTGGCTGAGCTCTCATAGATTTTACCATAGTTTTTTTCTTAATGATCCATAACTGTGGTCATCTACTGGTATAGCTAGAAACTGCCAGAAGGGGTCAGTGACTGGAACACCTTTTTAGATCTAGCTTTATTACTATGGCATTATTTTATACCTCTTTTGGTTATTCTTTTCTTCTGGGTGTTTAAGACCAAGGTAAAGTGAGACCTGTGTCAATCAGTACAAACCTCTTGCTATCTATCAAAGTCAGCTAAGTCTCCTCAGGCATTACTTTGTAACCATGCATAGAGTCTCTCAGCTCTTCTGTCAGTGTCAGCTGATGGGATAGGTCATGGCCCTGCTTGACCATGTTGCTTTAAGTGAAAGTATGGGAGACTTTCCCTTCTTTGTGACCCTCCTTTGGCACATGGTACATTTGTCCTCTCGTGCCCAGCAATCTCCCTGCTCAGGAGGTTGAGTGACTTACCAAAGATGTAGGGTCCTGTAGGAAAGCTTCCTTCATGTCCTGGATTCTCTGTTGACCTTGAGGGGCCAGGGCCACAATATTGGCTGTCCTCTTAGCCTAGTTACCTTTCTAGTTTTGGTCTCCAAACTTTAGGTGTTGAACACCCAGAAGAGATGAGTGACATAAGTATTTCAGTAGGAGCAGTGAACTTAACTATTATAATAGTCAAGATGTCAAGCACTTTTGAAGTATAAAGCAGTTAGAGGGCTGTTATTTTACCAACCATGGTTGGTAAAATGTTAACAGATAACATTTATATATTGTATTGAAAAACTTAAGATCAAGAGCCAGAGGTAGTATTTTAACATGACAATCATGATGATATCTTCTTTGTAACACCTACATGTCTATCTTAGTTTGGAATAGTCTTTCAGTCAAATACCTTCATCTGATCACAAGACATTAAATGACAAAGAAAATTCTTATTTGCCATCTAAAGAGAGCATACATATTGGTCTATAAATGTATCTTAGGAGTTCATAATGTCTAGCCTCTAATTTTAGTGTGACATTGTTTCAAATGTTTGGTGACTGAGCATCCCTAAGTGTGGTGACACATATAACATATATCACATCAGTTTTTAAGATAACTATTATTTGACTGGTTTTCTCATGCTGGCTTGACATGTACCTCTTATCAAAAGTAGCTGAAGTGCAAGAGAAAGGCAGATACTTGAGTCAAAAAAGATCATTACCATAACCAATATCTTAGAAGACCTGTAAACTCAGAAGGCATGAATGATATTTAGTACCCCATGAAATAACAATGAGTATCAGTTACATGAAACCATTTGTCCCTTAATTTTGTTTTGAACCAAAAAAATTTTAAATAAAACTTTGTTTTCCCACAGCAAACTTAGACCATGGCCAATGTATACCTATCTCAATGATATATTTAGCAATGTATTTCCCACAAGGCTATGGAAATTGGGGTCCCCTTTGTGAGCAAAGGCTGGAATAATTTTTCCAGGCAGCTGCTCCTTTATTTACCAAGGGGAGTCCTTTCCAGGAGTTTTCCTAAGCCCAAGAGTCTTTATTTAATTATCTTAACAAATTTTTAGATGACCTATGAGAGTCAGATCATAACAACACATTATTTGTGAACAATGAAAGATTCCTGAGTTACTATATATAGATAGCAATATGTACTGTATTTGTAATACCAGTTGACATTATTTGGATCATCTGGCAACCTGGGGGAACAATGTCTTTAATTACATTTATCTATAAGCCAACTTGAGTTACAGGCAAACATATTAAAAAATCCAAAATGCCAAAAGAAAAAAGCTCAAATGTAACAGCTGTACATGTTGTAACTGTCAGGTAAAAGGATGAAGACCAAGACCAGACCAGGCAACAAGCCTTTATTAGGGGAATAGATCTGCCTGGCTGTCTCTGAACAAAGGAGAGACAAAAGCAACATGGCCAGGGCAGGGAGTCTTTTATAGAGACTGGGGTGGGGTTTGTAGGGGCTGAGGTGGGGTTGAATGAGGTAGTGCACAAGCCTGTGACAACACTAGGTGTAGGAGGTGAGCGAGTATTAGGTTACTCTCTAGAGGGGAACAGGGGCATGCTGGGAAGAAGGGTTTGTTCTTTGGTGGGAGAAACTATCTTGGCATGATGTCACACAGGGGAAGGGGCAAGGCACCATAGGAAGAGGGCAGCTACTATACATAACAGCTGCTGAGGTAGTGGGAGACCCATCATTACAGGCTTTTGTTTTATGACAGTTGGGCAAAGGTTTCTTCTTCTGGAGCTGCTTCCTGCTGACAAGGGGTGAAGATCGGGGCTAGACCTGGATCTGATGAGGCCCGTGGCAAGTGGTCCCTCTTCCTTTTGTCATACTGGCTGGTACCCTGCCATGATGAACTCTGTGACTGTCTGGTTGATGAATGCTTTCATTTGTTCCTGCAAGAAATTTTGAAAACAGTGAACCAGGCACGGTCCAAAGCAGAGAATTAAACAGATAATACTGAGGAGTCCCAAGAGCAGTAATAGCCACGGGAGCCATGAGCTCCAGGAACCAAATGTACACCACCATCAATTAGTACCTTGTGGGGCATATCTATCTGGCCCATTGAGTATTAAGTCTTTTTCATTTGATGTGTAATTTTTTAAATTATTATTTACATAGGTTTTACAGAGACAGCTGGATGTTTAGGGGCTCATTTGTCATAGAAGGAAGAGACTGTTATAGAAGTAAGAGATCACAGCTCATGATCTAAAGGGTTCATGTGCCATGATTTGTTTTGTACATTTGTCTAGAGGTCTGTCTTATTAGTAATAGAGAAAGCAGTCCAAACCTATAGCTCATCTCTTAATGGAGGCTTAAGAAAGGGCTCTGATGACATCATTTCAGATCACTCTGAGACAGAGGCTATCTGATCATCACTGACAGAGTTTCCCTTTCACCTTATTGAGGAGTCCAGATAAGGACAAGATGTGGAGATTTTCTGCTGATTACCTCCACAGGCTGTCGGGAGCTAGTTTCTTCTGAGGGGCCTTTGGGCATCTGCCAGACAGTGCCCCAGCCATAACCCCTCAGTTGTCACCTCAGTTTCTGCTAGTTCCAGGCAATCAGAGATCTGTCTCCAAAAGGAGCCCAATTGCCTATCTGGTCAACATTCCACCTGCCACTGGCATCAGTGTGAGTGGGGATTCACCAGAGAGCAACTGGAGAAACCTGTCCTTTGCTTTGAGAGTGGCAGCTGCCCTAAAGGCAATTACTAGCTGGCAGAGTAACCACTATTTGGCATTCTATAAGGGACAGATAAAAGCCTGAACTGTCTTTATCTGAGATGATTTTATAAGAGACCATTTTACAACATTTTAAAGCCACTAAGTCCAATGGAACATATACAAAACAAGAATAAAACATAATTTTAACAAGAGACAATGCATAAGAAAGACAAACTTCTGAAACAAAAGCCAAAACAAAGGCCAGAATTTATGAAACAAAAACCAGAATCTATGAAACAAATATTGAGAGCCTATGAAATGAAAAGTTACATTCTATGAAGCAAAAAGACCAAAGTTAGAACCTATGGAACAAAAGCAAATTCTTATCTCTGACCAGCAATCTCAGTGGAAGACTCCAAAGTGATATAGGGGGAAGAGATGTAACTCCCAAACCTACTAGATATCCAAAAAGTGAGTTTGTGTTCTCTAAAATCAAAGAATGAATTCTAGGAACAACAGAGGTTAAGAGTAGGAAAACTTTATGGGGAGAAAGAAAGCTTGTGCCTACGAGAGACAGAAGGAGGACCAGAAAGTGGGTTGCCAGCCCACCCCACTTTTCAAAGGTGTTTTACACAGCAAAGCCATGTGGTGAGGTGGGTACAAAGTGGGACAAAACTATAAGACCCAATGGAAATTTACAAGCTGGGCATGAGGTGGGACAAAACCATGATCAACCAATAAGATTACAAGTACAGTCACCTAGGTAATATTGATTAAATGGGGATCAAATGGGAAGAAAAATCATACAAGGAATTTCCCATTTAGAATATCAATTGCTGGTATCTATCTCTAGGGGAAGTAGTACTTCTTTTCCTTTTTATGCTAACCAGTGAACTTGCCTCAATTGTTCTCCAAGTTAGCTTCTTGCTGTGTTGTCTCCTGGAGGGCTGGTCCCATCTAACTGCACAAAAGATATCTACAGTAATAGCATAGATCTTCAGCTCTCCAGCTCACAAATTTGTTTCCCCACTGCTTTCTGCCTGACTGTGAGTCTCTGCAACATAGTTTAATTTGGTTTGTGGCAGCTCATCCTCCTTTAGTAACAAATTCCAGATTATTTAGGGAAAACTAAACTGCTATAACAAAGTCTTGATACAATGGCTCACACACAGAACTTTCTTTCTGGTCAAATATTCCAGAGTGGAGAATCTAGGGTGGGTGTTCTAGATTAGGGGAGGTGGTCTCCTCTGTGTAGTAGTCTTTAATTAAGCACTCAGATTTTTACATATGGCTTCCAAGGTAATTCTAGTCATTGCCATTAATGTTCCTGACAGTTATGAGGAAGAAAGTGCAAGGAGGAGAGTTTGTGAATTTTATTGGCCAGCTCTAGAAGTGGCATTTGTAATTTCTGCACACATGCCATTTTAGAGAACCTGTCATAGGACTATACCTCAACACATGAGAAAGGAAGGGTAGATTTTGGTGGCAAGCTAGCTGTGTACTGTAAAGACTAAGTAGCTTTGTGCCTCTTTTTCTTTCCAGCTATGAAACAAAGGGAAAATCAGATACATCCAGCAACCATGCAGTGCTGAAGCTTGCCAAAGGGGATGAAGTTTGGCTAAGAATGGGCAATGGTGCTCTTCACGGGGACCACCAGCGCTTCTCTACTTTTGCAGGCTTCCTGCTCTTTGAAACTAAGTAAACTGATGAATACAACAGCTCCACTTCAGAGAAGACTTGTAGCTGAGTTGGTATTGTTAGTATCTAAGAAACTTACCATCTTGAGGGCTCTACAATATGTATCTACAAAAACAATTATTAGTTACACTGCTATCATGCTACAAGTCCACTAATAATGTTGGATTACTCAGGGGCTCAGATAAATAAATTACAATGTTGTCTTCCCAGATGGCCTTGACAAATATACTTAGTACCTCTGTCACTCTTCCCTAGGTAGCTAAAATAGAATTGTTCTTTGATGCAGGTTAGAATTAATTGCTTCCATCACAGGAATCATTGCAGGACTGTTGGTGTTATTTGTAACTTTAGCTTTCAGGAGCCCCTGAAATTTTGAGTTCATTATTCTTTATAATATTGTAGAGAATAGGACACAGGGATCATGTTGGGGCAGGGGCAAGAATATGGGTGCTAGGCACTAGAATCATATGTACAGTCTGGACTGGGAAATAACAATTTGATCAAGTGGGTCAATATTCACAAAATATAGTTAATTTTTTAAAAAAGCAAGTCCAGATAGCTTTTATATGGTAAAAGTATTTATAATGCCTACAAATAATTGGCTTTTTTTTTTTTTTTTGGTACTGGGGATGGAACTTGGGTTCTTGTGCTTGCCCAGCAAGTGGCAAAACCACTGAGCTAAATCCCCAGCTTGGCTCCTTCTTTTTGTAAAGGTGTTCCTGTAATTAACTCTTGACTTGTAATGGTTTGCACTTTTAGAAACAAATTTTTCTCAATATATAAAATTGGGCTTATCAGATCTGGCTTATTAAATTGATTTTTTTTTATTTTTTTATAATACACTCTTTGAATTACAGTACCTTTTTGTTGACCCTGAGTTGCGCAATCCAGTTAAGGCAAGCTTAGCTCAATATAAGACAGATAGTAGCACATTCTTTTCTATTAATTTGGAAATTACCCCCAATATATTTGTTTTATATATACTATGTCATATTGAAGGGACTGTGTACAGTGTCAAAACTAATGCATATAAAATGTATGGACAATCCATTTGAGAGACACACAAGAAAATATCTTTACATTTCATTCAATAAAAAATGATATTGTTGCAGGATTCTTGCACCCAGAGTTGGGACACCAAGGCTCTTTCCAGGAAGTAGCTTTACTTGTACCAGCATGGGCCCAGTGGCTTTGGATCTGTATCCAAATGCTGAACACCCAGCATTGGGGGCAGGGGTCATGCCCTTTACATATATCTGAGATCTTTGTCTACCTTATATGGTAACACATAAACAAACCACAGCAGGATTAGGTACACTGTATGTTACAGAGCCAAGCTAGCACTGCACATGTGTACATAGGAACTAATTGTGCCTGGTTAACTTCCTGTACTCTAAGAAGGTCTACATTCTTTGAAGGCCCACATTCCTCAAGGGGGAGGTTCTGCCACATTCTTTAGGGAGGGATCCTGCCACAGTATGACTTCCTAGATTACCATATTTAAGTAATGTTCATAGAGCAGTTTTTTTTTCAAGAGAGCAGTTTTGATATACCAGGTGTTTTAGGACATATCATTTGGCTTTTGCCTAACTTGCACATCAAAATCTATCTTCAAAGGATAAAATCTGCCACTAAAATAATTACAAAACGTGCCATAAGTGCTGAAGATGGGATCCACAGATAGTACTAAAGTTTGTTTCAAAAAAAGAATCATTGGAATATATATTTACTCTATTGAATTATATTTAAAATGCACTGAGATGTCTACTGAAAGAAATATTATGTAATGATTTACCTTTGAAGCAATGAGCCCTTATTTCATTTTCTGTTAGAACTTGAATTTCCACATAGGCATTTAAACTATAGATTTCCCTGTATTAATCAACCTATAGCTAGAGGCTAAAGATTTAGTAGGGCTCCCTCATTAGCTAATTCAGTACTCTTAATGCTCAGTTCAGCCTTTGATCCTTTACTTTTGATGCAGAAATGTGTTTAAACCCTTCCTGAATCCATGTGTAATGCTCCATTAAAGTGAATGGATATTAGCTACCATGTGCTCAATAAGTAATATTTTGTGATTTTTGGATATATTCCTTTCCTCCAGGGCTGTGGGTCATGAGATTGAGGTTTTCTATGTCAAATGTCTTCATATCTCACAGAAATGCATTGCCAATAGGTATTTGAATGTTGCATGTTGACCAAAGAGATTTAATATCTGAAGAGTGTATACTACCTAATAAATGCCTAGAGGAAGATTTTGGCCTGGCTTTACATAAAATTGTAGCAAGAATGCATTGAATATGTATACAAAATAAAGATACCTTTGTTAAATGTATCCCTCTTTAATGTTCTTAATAATGTTTAATAGTCATATAATTGTAAGTAGTATGGTTTAAACATAGCACAGTGTTTTCACGCAGACCATGTGAACAGCCATGCAAATCAGTGATGTGAGCACTGAGCAGGGTCACCTGTTTCTATCAGGTAAAAGGGCTGAAAACCAAGACCAGACCAGGCCACAACAAGCTTTTATTAGGGGAACAGATCTGCCAGGCTGACTCTGAACAAAAGAGAGACAAAAGCAATATGGTCAGGACAGCAAGTGCCTTTTATAGGGGCTTGCATGTGCTGAGGTGGGGTTGAGTGAGGTAGTGGCTAGGGACTGGAGGAGCCTGTGATGTCACTAGTTGCCAGGAGGAGAGCAAGTGTCAGGTTACACTTTTGGTGGGAGTAGGGGCATGTTGGAAAGGAGGTAGCTATTATATACAGCAGCCACCCTAAATTGGAGGGAAATCTATCAGTTTCCCCAGTTTTCATTTTAGTAGAGACACCAACAATATGGTTCCAGGCAGATGGAAAGCTTCTTAGGCTTGCAAATAAGTCCTAATATGAAAAAAGTGATTCACAAGAGAGAATGAAGAAGGCCAAGGTAATTCTCAATGTTTTCACAGTTTTACCCATGACCATAATTATATAGTTTTCCCTCCTTATCTGTTTTGCTTTCTGTAGCTTCATTTACCCATGGTCAACCTAGGTCTAAAAACATTAAATAGTAAATTCCAGAAATAAACAACTTATAAGTTTTGAATTGTATACCATTCTGAGTAGCATGACAAAGTTTTGTGCTGACCTATGACCCACAGACATGAATCATTCCTTTTTCTACAGTATCCAAAGGGTGTATACACTATTATCTCATTAGTTACTTAGTAGGTATCTCAGACTGACTGTTGCCTTATAGCAGTGCTTGTATTCAGGCACTATTTTATTTAATGATGGCCCCAAAGTATAGGAGTAGTGATGCTGAAAATCTGGATATGCTAAAAAGAAGCTATAAAGTGCTTCCTTTAAGTGAAAAAGTGAAAGGTCTCAAGTTATGGAAAAAAGCAATCATATACTGAGGTCATTAAGAGTTACAGTAATAACATCTTCTATCTGTAGAAATGTGAAAAATATGAATTCTATCCTAGTTTTACTCTTGCATCTCAAACTATAAAAGTTATAGCCACAGTGAACAAGTGCTTAATTAAAATGGAAAGGACATTGAATTTGTCCATGTTTGTGTAGAAAAAAACAATGGATATATATGGCATCTTGCTATAATTTGACCTAACATAGCAAGAATACACTGAGATACTAATTGCATCATTTGAGACCAGAGCTCCTCTGATGAAAACAGCAGCCATTCCCAGCAACAGCAAGGCCCAGAGCACCTTCTCCAAGGAGAATAGCCTAGTTTGGATCAAGAAAACCACCTGCAGGAAGCTTCTCCTAGAAAATGAATAGGCCAAGATTTGTCCTCCAGTTCTGTTTTTATAGGAATTGGTTATAATCCTCAGGTGGATCCTCCATGCCCAGACCACGATGATTCAGTTCAGGTGAACGTTCCAATTAGTCAATCCACTACAGCCAAGTATATCATTTAAGAGAACATCCCATTCCTCTTAATCTACTATTAATCTATTTGTCCAAGGGCTATTAATAAGAAGATTCCTTTAACTTCTTTTTCCTCCTCCATTGACATTCCTGTATTAAAAGGAGTAAATGGGTCCTGGATCAGATGCTTTTTACCTCCTTCCATAGCTAACATCTTCATTAACATCTACCTGCAGTTTTATTTCCTCACTTTCCCTCAGTCTCCTAATCAAGAAAAAAACAAAACAAAAAAACCCCTCCACAACACTCCAAAAATGTTAATGTGTATCTTACATTCCATTATATTTAATAGCTGTGCTATTTACACACTGTATTTTGGCAAATAATAATATTTTGTGTTTTTAATTTATATGTGATGTTATGTTACACTTGTTTTCTGAGCTACCTTTTCATTCTTACATTAACTGGTCTTTTCATCTCTACTGCTTCTTAGATCAATCAGGTAGAAATACAAAATGAATTCGGTAGAAGAATACCAGATAGCTCACATTAATTACTGAGAAGCTGATTTGGGCATTTGGCAGGATACTGAATAATCTTGCCAGCTGGAGTCACATTCAAGATCACAGCATGACAGTCTAGTTAGCATAGAGAACAAGGTTTCCAGTCACCTCTGCCCTGCTGGATTCCTAAGAGTTGCACTAGCTTTAATCAGAGTCAAAAGGGTGGAATTTAGAATGACTGTAGTAGATGGAGTTACATCAAATAAACATTTATGAGTTAATAATTATACTTTTTAAATGACTATTATCATTGTAGATTATGCTAGGATACCAATTTGTTATTCTAAAATCCAACCAGTTATCTTGCCTCTAATATGAACTATCTTTCAGGATAATAGCAAACTTAAAATGTTTATTTTATGCTGTTTTCAATTGCTATTACAGAATACTTGTCACTAAGTGATTCAGAAATTAAAGAAAATAGGTTTATTTTGGCTCAGTTTTGAAGGCTAGGAAGTTCCAAGGCCGTGTGTCTGGTGAAGCTTCATACTGCTTCAACTCATGGTGGAAAGTGGAAGGGCATGCAGGCATGTGTTCTTGAGGCAAAACTTTTGGGGATCCCTCACTTCATGATAACCCACTTTCATAGGAACTACCGGTAATGTAATTCTGTGACAGTGAGAACTTACTCTGTCAAGAAAGATGTTAATCGCTTTTAACCTAACAGCCTCTTTTTTTTTTTTTTGGTACTGGGGATTGAACTCAGGTCCCTGCACTTGCAGGGCAGGCGGCGGAACCACTGAGCTAAATCCCCGGCCCACCTAAGAGCCTCTTAAAGATCCCAGCTGCCAATAATGCCATAGTGGAAATTTGAATATGAATTGCGGGGACAAAGCACATTGAAACCATAGCAATGTCTTTCTTGTTTTGTTGTTCTTTTTTTTGGTACCGGGATTGAACTCGGGACTTGGCGCTTGCATGGCAGGCTCCAGAACCACTGAGCTAAATCCCTGGCCCTATAGCAATGTCTTTCTTTAAAATGCTCAGTTAGCTTCCAACTCCTAATGAAATGGTGAATTTAGGCGGTAATCAGAACTTGCTGCTGGACACATTAAACAAGAAGCTAATGAAGGAATGTCTTAATCTGTTCAGGTTGCTAAGAAAAAATAATCATGTGGGCCGGGGATTTAGCTCAGTGGTTCCAGTACCTGCATTACAAGTGCAAGGTCCCAAGTTCGATTCCCGGTACTTATTCTCACAGTTCTGGAGGATGAAAAGTCCAACATCAAGGGGCTGGCACATTTGGTTTTTGCCGAGGACATTCTTCCTGGCATCTTATTATGTTCTCATGAGGCAGAGAAAAAAAGAAGCAAACTATCTTTTATCCCTTCTTAGAATGACCCTAATCTTACCATGAGGACTCCATCATAATCACCTCTAAAATCACCTCTGATTAGGTGTCCTAATCACCTCTCAAAGAAACCCCCCCAAGAAATACCATCACATTGGGAATTAGGGTTTCAACATGTGTATTTGGGGGAATAAAAGACTTCAGTTCATGGCAGAGAACTTTATAATATGTGAATCTGACTGAGTCACTTGGAACCCACTGATCAATTTTAATATGGAAAATTAATAGACCATTATGTACCCCTGGGTATGGTGCAGTGAATAGCAATACCCGCAAAGATTCTTTCCAATGGTCTTCAGCTTAAATCTAATGAAGCACGTTGTCTCCCTATTTATAGGGCACACAGGGGAGGGAGGAAGATGACATATAAAACCAAAATATGTAATCAATAGAATTCACATTGTTAGAAAGCAAATGATAAGAAGTCATTGAGGCCCCATTGGAGCCCAGCCCCACAGAAGCCTGCAGCCTGTGCCCCACCGGACCACACTGCATAGATGACAAGATCAGTATCTGAATCTGCACAGCAGAAGCACCAGGGGGAACATAAAGGCCATGGTTATGAGCTGCAGAAGATAGAGCAGAAGTGAACAACAGAGATGGCCTTTCTGACACTCCTCAATGGAAATTGAAGCCCACTGGACCATCATTGTTGGTAAGTTGGTGGGATCAGCACCTCCCACAGAAACCTGGACTTGCTTAGCAGGGAGGACAACTGGAACCTGCAGTAGAACTTTGCAGAGTTTAATCCTGCACAAGGTCAGGGACCTCAACTTGGACCTTGCAGACAGAAATCGGCCTGAATCTCAGTAGACTACAGCTGGCTTGCTGAGACTAATCGACTTAGACCTGCACATTGCTGCCCACATTGCCTACCAGGACAGCAGAGATACATCCTTTTTTGTTTGTTTGTTTTGTATGTCTATCTATCTATCTATCTATTTTCTTTTCTTTTTCTCTATCTCTATCCCTTCTGGCTCTATATTTCTCTCCCTCTTTCTTCCTGTTCCTGTCCCATTCTGAATTTTTTCTCTATGTCCTCTCAAAGGATACTTTTATAGGAAGGTAAATACAATTCCTAGCTTCCCTATTGTTGTCAGTTTGTTCTGTACTTGTCTCTGTTCTCTTGCTCTGTCTTTTCCTTTTGTCTTCAACAGATTCCCACAATTTTTGTGATCTTCCCATGTCCTCTAGCCTCACCTCTTAACCTTTCCCTCTCCCTCTCTCTTTACCCCTCCCTCCCCAACCCCTTCTAAATCCTTATCCCAAAGGGTAAATATGCCATATTGAAGGGTTTACTTACTACAAACATATTTTTGGCTGGCCCTAGATTTTGATCTAGTTCACATAGTTCAAGGTAACAGAGTAACTGCTACCACAAATTGTCATTTTCTAAGCTGTGTTTGATGCTGTTTGTGTCAATTGGGCTAAGGTGTTGTGACTGATCTAATCAGCTGTCCTCCCTGGTATAGTGAAAATAAGATTGCCTAAGAATCATTAGAGACTCAAAGCCTAAAAAATTCAGCTATACCTGGAAGATATCTC